GATTATTATACGGCCGTTGCGGGTGTGGCCATGTGTATATAATATAACGCAAAAAAAAAAAAAAAAAAAAAAAAAAAAAAAAAAAAAAAAACACGAAAATACAACGGATCAACGACGTGACGGTGTGCGTTGAATCAAAAGGCCGTGGATGATAATGATATACGCTATTTTCGCGGAACGCTGTATTGACAATAAGCCTTTACCTACCGTATACAGAGTGATCATTGATAAATCTATCGTAAATCATTCATTATATCGGAAAGTATTGACTTTTTTCTGAATCTGGTTTATAGAACGTTTTAGAAACGAGCTCCTTTTAAGTTATTTTCTGACGCCCTTATTTTCGGAAATAAAACCGCATGTTTGCGGTGGCGTTTTAACAACGCACTTCTATACTCTATCCCAACACAAACTTAAAAGGAGACTATCTCGTTGACGGATTGAAAAGTCAAAAGTAAGTATTGGTTACACTCACGATAAATGAATGTGGCAAAAAAAAAAAAAAAAAATACATAAATGTAAAATTGTAGAGCTGCTTTTTTTTTTGATATTTTATAAAACAGATTCCAAAAAAGGGTAATACTTTCCGAGATATAACGAGTATCTTACGAAAGGTCGATCACTCTGTATACCGACCGCGAACGAACGCGGAGATAAAACGGAACGCCCCTTTGAGAACCGCGGTTGTAATAAAGGTCTTTAGAGGTTAAAAAAAAAAAATATATAAATATATATACTATTATGTATATAATATTACTAAGTTATATAGTTGTGCGGCATAGTCGTGCAAATAATCGCTCAACGTGCCCATATTATTATTATTATTATTGTATACCTATTGCGTATAGTTGCGGCTGTCGTGCAACACTTACGCTGTAAACGTCATAAAACCCGTAACACGCCGTATTATTATCACGCCGTCATATTATTATAATAAATAATAATATTCTAATTTCGTTGAACATTATTCATATTTTATATATTTAAAAAAAAAAATCCGTAAATAACGGCGTGCCGTGGTTATAGGTGCGAAGTTTGGAAGGCGTTGTATATGGTAGTATAAAACGGGGTTATTCAATATTATTGTTTTTAATATAAAATACCAAAAGCACCGGTAAAACAACAAAATAATATTGATAATATTTTAAATTTACAAACCGATTTTAAAAATAATATCTTATATCAATACACTTTAGATAATAAATTATACTCAAATGATCTTTAATTCTTAACAATTTTATATCTAATAATAACCCATTTTAAATCTCTCCTATTGAAATTAATTATTTCTACGTAAAATGACCAATATGTATAATTTTTTATATTCAGTGGCATTTTACATTTTGACTGTGATATACCCGACGATGATTTTTTAATTCAAAACCGGTCGTATAAAACACTTATCATAATACTCCAGGTGATGCATTTATTAATTAATTAATTTTTAATTTTTATATTTTTTTATTATACTTAAATTTTCTTCTAAAAATAAAATAAAAAAAATAAACGAAACGTTCAGTTTGAATTTAGGAAGAAAAACATTATTTTAAACGACCTCCGCTCAGAATCGTATTTTGTTTACGGAATTTTATTGTTTCATACATTATTCAAATTATATGATATAGGTATATCATACATGATACGGTTAATGTAGTAAATTGTATTAGGACGCATTTTCGTTGAGTAGTGAGTAGACCCAATGTAGTACTGATCATTTTAATATATTAAAACGTTAAAAATATCATCTGTGTTTGTACGTTAGTTTTTTCGATTTTATTTAATTTCTATGTAAGTCCTGAACAAAAAACATTTTAGAATTTGAAAACAAAATCGCATCTGGTTTAAAAATTAATAGGTTATCGAGAAACGAAATCAACGTGACAACATACAAATTAACAGCACAAAATGTGACATTATCCGATTTTCAATGTTAGCCTAACACATCTTTATAGTAAAATGTACAATTTATTACGTACACGTCACCCTATAATACTCATATATTTTGTAATATTATTATGCACACTCGTCTATTATTTTATAATCTCCTAATTTTTCTTTCTAAATCGATATCATTAATTTCCCTGCCAATTTTACGGTATAAACAATATAATATTAATTTTCGATACCTGTCTACTATTTAACCATTATAAGTGCATTATAATAGCAGTGTGTATATTATAACAGTATATACGTTCATAATCGGCTCTATTATATTAATATTTCTAAGGGTATAAACTATATATATATATATATATATGGAATATTATATAATTAATAATTTCCAACATCAGATACTGTGTAGTAATATTATTTACATCGCTTCACGTGTACCTATCCTATCCTATATACGCTATTATCGCTCTTAAAGTAATAATTATTATTAATGGCTTTATTTTTTTTTTGTGATGCGTATAGAAAACCACGCGTATGCACGCGTGCGCACACACGCCATTAAAGGCATGTTTTAATTTTTGATATCGTGCAAGCACGTCGGAATATTTCGGGAAATGTACTAGGAGAGGGCGTATTTGTCCGGTATATTCGACGACCTGCAAAGGCATAGTTTTTGCGTGTGCGAATATTATATATAGTAACGGTGGGAGGTGCCATTAATTTTTCGAAGTGGATTTATGAAAACAGTCTTCCTGTCGCCGTCGGAGACTATAGGAAACGGGAAACGTCGAAACACCTCCACACCCTAGACTCGTCACGGCTAGAGTGTATGTATAAATATATATTTATAGTGTATATACTTCCGGTAACACGAAAAGAGAGCCAGTATAGTACGCCATGAGTGTTTAAACAATTTCTCTATACGAGTTTTAAAATCCGCGCGAGAGTCAAGACACTATAATATTGTTTATTTTGGTCAAAGACAGATTGTTTTTTTTTTTTTTTTTTTTGGGAGTGGGGAGAATTCACAGCTACCTGGTATTCAAGAACATTTTTATTTTATACAGTGCCTCCAAGATCTTTATCAAATCAGACCATTAAGCAAATATATTATGAGTTTAGTGTAGTAAGTATAGGTGTGTGTATAAATAACAATTAACAAAAGAAGCATGTTAAAATAGTATATAAATATAGATTTGTATGTGTAACACTATGTTAAAGTCTTCAGTTGCTGTTATTGATTGAAAGAAAAAAATGATTTTTTACGTACCAAAGTATTTTGTGACTGGTACAAACGTGTTTTCTACCTATAAAGTTTTGTTTTGCATATTTTGATACTTCAGTTATTTCTACTGACATATTTAAGATTTGTATTTGAAATAAGTTTTTTTTTTTTTAACAAGTACAAACTGATCGTTAAAGACTATGAAAACTATAAGAAAAATCAAAAAAATCTCGTTTGTAATTCACCAACTAGATAAAATTCATTTTCAGAAAAAGATGCTACAGTTCAAAATCAGAACAAGATTTCTGATAGTAAAGCTGTTTACAAAATAATAAAAAAACACAAATCATAATAAAACCAATACATTTATCACAGCGCTAGAAATCTAAAATTAACTAACACTACTAGAGACGGCTTAATAATATTTTCAAAATTAAATATTAGAATTTATTCAACACTACTGCAGATTTATACAGAAATTTGAAAATACATACTATATATAGCGCATATAACTGAATACAATAACGTATTTAATATATAATAATGACATATTATATAATTATATTCAGTATTGGAATTATTGCACATAATATAATGTAATCAACAAAAAAAAGTTTACAAAAAAAATATTTCAGTACCTTAGCCCCCGATATAATTAGATAAAAATATTTAAAAAACAAAATACTACCCATTAAGACTATCGGGATAATCAAAAAAATCATATTCAAATTTCATATTTGAACTCTTGAATATTTTAGATTTGGAGTATGGAGAGAAATGTATTAGTTTTACGGTGTTTATTTTTTTTTTTTTTTTTTATGAACAACTTTTCTACCAGAAATCTTGCACAGATTATTAATCTTAGTACTTTTTTAAAAAATTAAATTTTATCTGGATGGTCATTTTTGATTTTTCAAGGAGTTTTCATAATAATTGAAAAACATGGGAATATTTACATCGATGTATAAGAAAATGTAACTTCGCTCCACATCGCTTTTCGTTAATAATGGTTTATCGTTGTGTGCAGATATATATTAAATTATCCTTTATATCCTATTTCCCTAACTCCTCACACATAACCCATGGTACGAAGTATGATTTAAGTATAATTTAAAAAATGTGTAAACTAAGATAACTCCTGGACTTCCATATGAGTTTTTCTCAGTGAGGCCCAGTAATCTATTGATCTCAATTATAAATATAAATAAATCAATCAATAAATAGAAATCAAATAGATATACGCATTAAAAAAAATAATATTCGATAACCTAACCTAACCGATATAATTTATCGAACTCTAGTCATAATAATCTAATCAAGGTTTAACAGGGTGATCGTTTTATCAGGAATCAGTAATTTTCTCTGAGGATTTTAGGTGAATTTGATTTTTGACACTATTTTCAGTCTTCCATCTCTATAATCTTTATACCTAAAATTAGTATTCACTATGTATTTTGAATTAACGACCCCCTTTGCATTCACTGTTGTTTTAAATAGAAAATAGTTTTATATGCATAGCACTAATATACAAGAAAACCCTTTATGAGTTATAGCAGTTCGATGTTTGTACTGAAGAAGTAGGGAAGAGTAATGAATTTGTCATTTACACACACACACACACATATATATATATATATATATACATGTATAATTGAAGGAGTTATATTTATATTTGAAAATCCAAAGTGGATACTCATTTAAGGTATAAGTTAAGGTAATAATTGTAACAGTATGATAGTACGTTGTCATGATAGTCTGAATAATATAAAGTAAAAATTTGGCTTTTCCAAAAAACTCATATTACTGACAAAAATATGCACGAATTGGACCAGATATCAAATATCAAGTAATAGTAGACGGTACACTATCGGAAGAATTTGAAATGATGACAGGGCTCAAAAAAGGTGATGCGCTATCTCCATTACTGTTCAACATAACATTAGAGAAAGTGATTCGTAAGATACAAAATACTATACTCGGAATCAATATAAACAAAACCACATTGGATGTACTCGGTTTTGCTGACGATCTGAACCTAATGGGAGAAAATAAAAACACGGTAGTTGAAAATACAAAAACACTCATCCGTAAAGCAAAGAAGATTGGCTTAGGAGTAAATGAGGGAAAAACGAAAGTAATGGAAACAGTAGCGGAGTGTGGTGAAGAAAATTGTACAGTAGATAACTATGTGTTAGAGAAAACCCAAATTTTAAGTATTTAGGAGTTTCTATCACTAGCAACAGTGACTGAAGTACTGAAATCGCCAGTCGTCTTCTCAAAGCGGAAAGAACCTTTTTTGCATTGAATAAATATTTCAAAACAAAACTTTTTTTCAGGGATACAAAAGTGTGCCTGTACATGACTACTATAAGACCAACATTAACCTATGGATGCGAAGTTTGGCCAACGACAGTGCAAACTGAACAAAAAATTTAAAGTTTTGAAAATAAAGTGCTAAGGAAAATGTGTGGACTAGTATTTGACAATGCAATAAATAGGCGGTGAAGTAATAAAAATACCGAAATAAGGGAAATCCCCAAAGTACTTTTACAACAAGCTATGTAAAGGGACAAAATATCCATTGGCTCGGACATACGACGAGAAGAGAAAAAACGCATAAAACTAGGGCGGCAATTGAATACAGGGCCAACAGGAAGAAGACTTAGAGGTAGGCCGATAAACGATAGATGGACAAAGTGTGTCAAGATTTGGAGAGACTAGGAGCAATGGAATGGAAGGAAAAAAATCCTGGATCGTAATTATTGGAAGACGGTGACTGTGTTGGCTAAAGAACTTACAGAGTTATAAGATTACATAAAGAAGAAGAAGAATTGTAAAAAAGTATTTAAGTAAACTCAGACGTAATTATTAAATTTATATTTATTAAAAGTACAGACATTAAATTCACTTAAAATCCCCTGAGAAAATTGTTGGTTCGTGATAAAACGATCATTGTATATTTTTAAATAATAATCTAAGTTTTAGCCGGAATGATATTTTAATGATAAAACGATTAATTTTACATAGTAAAATTATACGCATTGCAAATTTGTACTCGAAATAATATGTACTTTTTTAATAATACGTACGTAATAATTATACAGAACCAATACATTTAGTAACCTCACAACGATGGTAAATTCGACTTCAATGCATTATTATAGATAATAATACAATTTGAAAAAATAAAATATCGTATTGTTTGTATCGAACAATATACGTTAATTTTTTTTTTTTTTTTTTCGTGCACAGGTACCTTTACCAGCTATTATAATATATTATTACGATACACGGTAGTACATAAAGAAAACAAATGTATAATATTAATATTAACATTATGACAACAATGCTGTTTACAACGGAATATTGTCTCTCGGACGATGCGAATAATTTCCTTACCTTTTCGTATTATTACTATCGTCGTCTATCTCTCCGTCTCCGGCATCGTATAAATCGCCGAAAACAATACAATATAATAATAATAATATTACAATTTTATTTATATTATATTATATACTTTATTATTTTGTATATAGAACACACGCGCCGTACATAAATACGACAAAGAGGCATTTGTACAACGTTATATTATTATCATTATTGTTATAATGTCTGTATATACACAAGACTTATAATATAAAATGCGCGTTTTATACGAATGATTTATTTTCTCGCGTGCGATGATTAGTATACATATCCGCAAATCTCCATGGAAATGTTACGTTCATATATATATATATAATATAATAATACGAGTAAAACGTCTCTGGAAAACGACTCAGAGATGACTCTAGAAAATAAGAATTGATGATATCGTTATATCGTGATATAGTTAGAGTCGTTTTTTTTTTTTACACTCTTACGCGTAGTGTCGTGTAATACTCGTATATATTATTATATGCGTCTGAAGAAGCCAATAAATTATTATAATATATTATATTACACTGTGCATACATGTAGTTTGTCATCCTGCTTAAACATAAAATAATATTTCGTTATTCGCGATTACGACAGAGCGTGTGTATATTATTACTGAAACGTCATTATTACATATTAAAATCAAATAATACAAACATTTTGAAAAATCGGCGTTCCTCTATCCATATAAAAAATATTAATAAAATGACCCAAGAACGGAAAAATGCAAACTAAAAATATCACTTTTTTAATATATCCGTACACCCGTTACATGAATCGAATATTATAATATGCATGGACTTAGAAATTTATGTCCTATATAACGACGGTGGGGGGAAAAATGCATACTTAGCATTGAAATTTTGACTCTAAAATAATATGTTTCAGTTTTTCCTATATTAAATATTCTGAGTAGTATATAACGAATAGAAACTGTTCATTTTCCAAATGTATTATTTTTCTTTCAGAAAACACTTTTACTATTTGTTTATCAAAAGACGAATTTCTGCCCGGCAGTACTTTATTTGACATATAGTATCGATATTTTCAGCAGTTCGTTGGTTTTTGGTTTTTGGCAAATCACGACCAATTTGATTTGATTAGTTGATAATATTTATAATATATGTATACTCATAACAAATATTTGAATGCACTGCGTAAAATGATCGAACCGATTAAATTTGAACAATAATATGTAATTTAAATCGTAGGTATATTGTTTTATTTAGGTAATAGGAAATCAGTAACATCAATAAGATAAAATTTTTTGTACTTAAGTTACACGGGGAACTGCTTTAATATAATAATACAAGATTAAGTAAATATAACATTATGCGGAAAATAAAATCTGTATGATTGTCGAAATAATTTTAAATTCTGGTCATTAAATGTCCATATTAATAATATTAATAATAAAAAATGTATTATATATTGCTGAATTCATGCAATTGGCAAAATAATTTTATATATGTGTAAATATCAGTATTATCTTGAATAATGCTTAGTTTGCTTGTAGGTTAATCCGGCTCTGTTCCCAACTGTTAACCCACCTACGACAGTAACCTACCCACGAACCGTATCAACTCTTTATACTTTTATAATTTGGTATAATTTACAAAAATATGTTAAATCATTTATTTTTCTAATGTATTACGAACCGTTTGTTCTGCGCTGATAATATTATAATCATAGAATATTATTCAACACCACCCCTACTGCACTTACTTATATACGGGCACGCGGGAAAAATAATGTTTCGCCTCCCACGCATCTTAGTGAAAAATTAATTATTATGCGGCGCTCGTGTGTGAACACGTCAGTTTGCGCTCGTATTATCATTTAGTTTTCCGAGAGAATACCGACAACGGAGACCCCGGAGACAGTTAATAATGTCTCCACGCACGAGCCCTCGGAGACAATTTATTTCATCAGATTCGATAGGATTTTAAAGTGTGTTCTGTATACCACGGGTCACGAGCGTTCCAAAAATCGTATAATATTATCTTAAAATAATAATAATAATTATACAAATGTATATAGTCACGTAGGCAAAACTCAACGATAAACTTGGGCGTTTCCTACGTTTTGAATGCAAGTATAACTATAATGGTTATTGAAAACCGGAATTTGCTCAGAAGTTATACTATCCAAACACACATAAAAATTGGTTTTTACATACTTAACGCAGTAGATTTAATTTGCAGCCCATTTGTAACTTTAATCAATACAGAATAAACGTAATGAAGCTATAAATACAGTAAGGTATATGAAAGTTGAAAGAGATAAATCCTTCATCGGTATATCGTCGACATAAACAAAAAAAAAATATTTAATAATACAAATTTATTATTTTGAACTATTATGTTAAAATTATGTATGAAAAGATTGAAAAAATGTCTTAAAACATATCAATAGATATACTATGTGCTTTAATTTTTTTAGTTTTATGAAATTTATAAAATCGTCTCAATGGCCTAATATTATACTAGCATTTCATAAATAAATAGATGTTTATCAAGTCCTCGATAAAATGACGCAAACGCCAAAAAAAATAAATTTTATTTTGTAAAATATTCTTATTTTAAAATAAATAGATTTTTTTGAAAAATATGAAATATTGTAATTGAAATAAAATGTTTACCTATTTATTCTATTGTTATTGTGGGTTTGCGGAGGCATAGACCTCACTGTTGACTTTGTAAATAATTTGTATGTCCTCTCTCATAGTAATTACTGTGAACGCCACTGTCTACTATATTAATTTCATAGGAATTAATGAATTTCAAAACATAATATAAAAATCGATGATAATTTTAATGAATTGTAATTTATTTTATCGAAACATTGTACTTTAAAACCTTAAAAAAAATTACCGTTTTGAATACACATATATTTGCAAAATGCGCATCCTGGCCAGGTTCGTGGAATAGTTCGTCCGAGTTCATAAAGAAATGTATTATTTAATAAATTTTAAATATCGCAATTCTCACTGATCCGGGACAGGACTGGGCCTGGTGTTCGGGCTTTCTCTGTAGCAAAAATATATTGTTTTTAAAAATGTTACTATCGGTTTCCCAGACGTGTTTACTGTAGGTCAAACAAGTCTAGATCAGTGTGAATGATGGCATGGATATTATCAGAACAATGTTGAACAACAAATTATGTGTACATTTCAATGCCTACACCATCCTCTTCATAAAAAGAACCCCTTCTCTTTTATATTTTTATGATTATTATGCACTTGGACAAATTGCCATGAATTAATAAACGAACAATAATTGACAGTACCTTAGTAATGCCTCTATTTTATAAACTAAAAGTTAGCTAATGCCCAAGTTTAAATTTGAACCATTTTCATACACGCAATCACGCGCTATCGACTAAATAGTATTCATCCATTTATTTATATTATCGAAAACCCTATTTCAATAATAATGAATTGAAAATTTCACGCCACCGCGGCAGACAGACCAGCGTGACTACTTGGACTACTTCGACGCGTCGACAATTAACGCGAACCCACATTTATTTCGTGTATAACGGGTGGCTATATCCCATACGAACTTCAAAAACCAAGTTCGGCTACGGAATCCGAAGTCGAGCTCCATGTCAGTTTTTCGTCGCTGTTCAACATTGCGGAGTATCAAATCTACATGGAATAAACCTCGGCGAAAATAACGGCCGCCATAGTCGAACTTTTCATTTTTTATTTTTAAAAAAATCAAGTGAAAATCCGCATTATATTATGCTCGGTGGCCGTCGCGGCGCGTGTTGCGTTTGCGGTTCGCGCGGCGGCGGGAGCACCGGTCCGCGTAACGGACTCGAAAGGCGGGAAAATTTCATTAGAGAAACCTGCACAGCTCGGCGTCGGTAGATTATTATTATTATTATTATAACGAGGGCCGTTGTCCGCTATTGTCCGAAAACCGACCGCGACGCGACAGATTAGTATTATTATAGTGGCTGCGGCGTCGGAAAATTAAACCGCGACCGTCCGGAATCGCAAAGTCGAAATAACGGGAGGTCAACCACTTGGCGTTCGGCGAGGAGTCCGACAGAAGTATTGTGTTTAATTAAGGGACCTAAAGGTACGCGTGGTACAGAGGTGTATATTAACGGCGAAACCGTAATGCCGTCGGACTTTTCCTGCTCCGGGGCTGTGTCTCGCAGCGTGTACATCAATTGGAAAATACAGAACATTCACGTGTCGAATTTGTGTCGAATCCGACTATATATACTGCATTATATTATAATAGAAATATTATTTGCAAAAAAAAAAAAAATAAATAACGACGGAAATAAATACTTTCAAAAAAAAAAAAAAATTGGTGAAATTTTTTCATGAAAATTGTAGGAGCGGAGTGTTGGAATTAGTAACTTTCAAAAAATACACATTTGAAACTAACACGCGATGCTTAATCAAAATTACATCTCCTTGGCTTCATTTGGAGAGTCTGTATAGGTATATAGCTAAAAAAAAACATTCCGCCTGCAACGAAATGAAGTTCATAATAAAATTTAACACAACTTGAATTATAGATTAATACCTTTTACTTCAATACGTCAATACGAATACGCCTATATTAAACGATATGAATTCCCGAGTTTTGGCTTATTTAGTCCATAAAGAGCAACTAGGAATGTTTCTAAAGAAGCGAGAAATATATATATATATGTGTGTATGTATGTAGAACAGACATAATACAATAGTCTTATTTCTCGGCGAAATTCAACAGTGATCTAACTTAGTGGAAGTAGGGAGGTGAAATATTATAATCGCGGGGAAAATTCCGACAGAGTTCAAATTTATTAAATAATTAAACAGTGAATATTACTTCACATCTAGAAGAACGATGTTGGAATCTTGTGAATAAAATGAAAATATAATAATATACGGAACCTACTTAATTTAGTTTTTACATCGAAAATACACTGATAAATTCTTAATAAAAAAAAAATAAATAGATTATGCGCTAGATGTATTGGTCGTTTGCCCTTTGGAAGGCTCACAAAGGTGACCCAGATATTAAATAAAATAAACCAGATGTTTCGTAGTTTGTTGTTAGACTTAGTTAAATTTTACTAATCGAAAACCATATATAGTAGCTCCTTCGCTACAATAAGAATCTAAAACAGTATTAAGAACAATATCAAACTATTAATACTAAACTCAGAGAATCGTTTACGAAATGGAAATGTTAGATTACCGGGTGATTGATTTAACACACGCATGTCACTATAATATTATTATTCCGAAATGTATAAAAAATGCAAAATGAAAGTTCAAATTTGGCGTACCTAAAATTAAAAAGTGAACGAAACGAATTTTAGGCATAGCTGTGGTAGAGTATAAAAACAAAAAATGCGCTTGAAATCCAATTTGTGTAAAGGTATATTACCGATAGATTCCATAACGGTCGTTCCCGTGTTTGTTTTTCCCCCTGACTTTTTCCTACATAATAATACTTTAACTTATACACCATTATAATCTCATTTCCAATCTCATTATTTTTGTCTGCCCCTCATACTGCCAAATAGCTATTAGTGTTTTCGTACAACTAATAACATTATACTCTATCGCAATGTTATAAGTAAGTATACGTTTATTGAAATATTCGAAAGCAATTCTCGTTAATATTGAATAATACAGCGTTTATAGTATTAAAATATATAGGTACCTATTGCAAAAGCGCCTTATATTCTGCTGGTCGGCGATGCGAACATTTAATTAACAAATGAAAAAAAAAAAAACCACCCGGACTTTTGACAAAAATGTCATTTACGTGTTTTATTATAAATCCTTATTAATTATATAACGATAATAATATTAATAAAATCGTCGATATAATTATATTACGGGAAATTTTAAAAGCAATGTAGGTATACAGTCTCTTTACTTAAATAATAATGATAATAATATTATGGCGCTGCACGCAATTCAATTGTATTCGCGTATTCGCGCTTCGTTGACGAATATTAATTAGTAAAAAAATTTAAAAAAAAATTATCGTTCCCGTTTCGCAGTAGAACATCAACGATGAATTGCGAATTACGCGGGCACGATTTAATTGTAAACGTCACTAAACTACAATAATAATAGTAACGAATAGATACCCTTTGATCGTTCGGCTGCGCGACAATATTATATTAATGGAAAAATCGTCTTCGCCCGGCGACGACGGAGACGCGAGACGTTTCGAATTAAATTACAATTATTTTCTTCGCTTCTCGAATTTATATACATATCGATGGTGTTAACGCAAAGCAGCCCAAATGACACTCGGGGGCTATGCGACAGTTCATATATTATCGGTTAGGGTATAGGCATAGACGAATCGTTTGGACCGACTGGTATTTATTTCCGGTGGGACTTTTCATAACGAATAATTACATTTTTAAATGTAGAATATCAATGCCAGTTCATAACGTGTTGGATGCTTTATTATCGCTGGTCCAAGCGACGTTGTTTAGGGACTAAACGCCAAAATAATAAAATATATGGGGACTCGGCGTTATTGCTATCGCATTGTGTTTACCATAGATATTAAACGCACTTGATATTGGTTTACTATCCATAGTATTTCAACTCAAACGTCAAACTCAAAAATAAGTGATAATAATAGTTATTAACCTAAATAACAATATTTATTAGTTAGCACCGACGAAATTTACTAGTTTTAAAGATTTATGAAAAAGTTCAGTGGAATCAGTTCTTTAAATCGTTATGAGCTATTGAAAATTGCTTGAGCAAGAACAAAAATTTACTTAGCAAATTACTTTGAAGAAGATCCCATTTTTATTGCACTCCTGGAAATCCAAAAAAAATGCCACTAGGGCCCTATGACTAAACACCATAGATATATAATTAATATGTTGCGATAAGTTTGAATACTGTAGATGAAACCAGTAAATCCTACGTATAATTGACTGCTGTTTAAACTGCTGTGTAAACTGCTGTTTACAGTTGTTTAAAATGTTAAAAACTTTAACCATTTTTGAAACGAAATTTTATCTCGGTAGTTCTAAGATGGTAATTTTTGGGCTTCTTCAGATGGTTTTCATAATAATTTGAAAAAAA